TTTAACCAAGGGCGAAAAACAAAAAACAAATAGTGAGTATCCTTTTTTTTTTTCTCTCTCTGGCTGCTTCCTGCTTGTTTTGCGCCTCTGAGGAAAGCATGGCCCCAATTTTTTTATTTTTTATTTATCCCGTGTATAGTACTGTATACTGCTTTTTTTTTTTGACCAAGGGCGAAGGCCTTGAGATGATTCGGAGTTGTTTTAGTTATCTGATTCCATCAGGATTCAAGCTCAGGTCCACTACTCAACATGGCACATGCATCTGTCCCAGTATGAACCCCAGATACATTCAAACTGATCGAACGTTTTGAATGTACGACGCCCACAGCGAGGTCCAGATGCGTTCACAACAGTGGATTGAGGCCCTACGTATGGTGAGATGCCAACAGTTCCTTGCACTTTTTTTTTTTCCGTTCAACTTTTCGAAGTGCAAAGTCGCAAACAGATATTCGAACAAAAAAGCTCATTTGAGGAGGGGGTTCTTTTTGTTGATGTCATCTTTTCTACTTCCTCTTTTTTTTTTTTTTTGCAGCCTGAGCTCGTGGAAAAGGTAGTTTCTCTACGGGACGATGTTCCGCGCAAGGAGGCGAGAGAGGTAAATCTTGGCTTTCGTTTCCGTTCCCTTCATAAGAGTGTTATTATACTAGCAGACATTTTGTCACATGACAAATCGCATTGAAATCAGCAATAACGAGTATCCTTTTTTTTTTTCTCTCTGGCTGCTTCCTGCTTCTTTTGCGCCTCTGTTTTTCGTTATTCTCTACTCTCAAGTTCTCTGTCCATGAGAGTGCTGAACTGGCATGCAAATCAACCAGGAAAAGTGTGGACGTGTGCACACGCTTGTACACGTGTGGCTGTGTGTTTTGTAACATGTGCTATACGCAACTCCACAGCAACAGAATCATGACTACGCCAGACTGTTTCGCACTTTCACCAAGTCATCAGGAGGTTGATGTGTGTGTGTGTGTGTGTGTGTTGCATCTATGTGTGTGTGTGTGTGTGTGTGTGTGTGTGTGTGTGTGTGTGTGTG